GTGGAGTATCAAACTTTTATTAAAAAACACGAAAGATTAGGAAAATTTTTTTTTTGAACAGGTAGCAAGTATTAGGATTGGTGTATTTGTTTAATAAATTTTGCAACAGTTTAAAAAAGATAATACGGGAGGGCCACAAATAGATATTTTTCTTCTCCAGAAATATGTATCTAACATTCATTAAAAAACGCGAAAGATTAGGAAAATATTTTCTTGAACAGGTAGCAGGATTTTAGCGCCCTTTCTACTGTGCTAAGTAACCAAAGATATAATTTAAGTGAAAAAAATATTTCAGCAATGTTATTAATAAGATTAAATGAAAATTTATTTCAAAAAATATGTAATAAATATTATATATTTTTTAATAAGAAATTAAGATATTAAATTATTGAATTATTTGAATAACTTCGTTAAATTTAAGCTGTAATTAAAGATGAAAAATTAAGTGAAATCTAATAACAAAATTAATTTATGTTGTTGTAAAAAATATTTAATTTGCTTTTTATAACCTTACTAACGAATCTTAGTGTATAACTTAATATTAAATAAAATTTTATGAAGTAGTCCTAAATTGATATATTCAATTTTTTCAAAGTACGATCTGTAGAACCGATCCTCTTTACTTATAACATTTCGAAACAAATACTCTTTCTCTATTAAATTCATGTACCTATTTAATATAACAAAGTTTTCAAGTACATTGTGAAATTAACTTTATTCCCATGTTTTAAATTAATAAACCTTAAAATAATAAGTAATATAAGCAATAAACGTAAATCTAATAATAAATTCAAAATTAAAATATAAATACAAAATCATTTCTTCAATAAAATATTTCGTATTAAGACCAAAATTAAAACAAATCAGTTTTACGTACTACTTTGCTGCGATATTTGTCATAATATTGTGCGCTTTTAAATCATCATTTCACACAAATGTGCAGTAGACATTTCGTCTCCGCACATTTAGGTGCATTTTTATTTTCAAGTCTGCACACAAAATGTGCTCCTCGTTTTCTTTTCTGCACATGTTGTGTGCGAGAGCAAGCTGGCTGCCTCACACACAATGTGCTGTGCGAAATAACTTCGGCACAAACACCGAATTGGTGTGCGAGTTTTATTTCACTCCACCACATTCGTGTGAAATGTGCGTTTTGTTTGTGCACACAAGATGTGGCACTTAAGATGTGCACAAAAATTTTCGCACACCACATTTGTGGTGTGAAATTTTATTTAGAATCGCACAACATTTGTGCGAGGTGTTTTGCATTTTTGTGCACAGCACTGTGTTTTTCTGAACCCTGGTATATAGCATTGTTCACTTCAAGAACTATGATATTCCAAAATTTATTTAATATATATTGGTTTTCGTTAGATATTGTAGAAAATTATTTCAAAATTAAATAAATTTTTAAACAAACGCAATAAATACTAATCTACAAAACATTAATTTATTAATTATATGCACTAGTATTTTTAAAACATAATTATTATTATTTACTTACTTTATTATTTCAAAAAAATTTATAATTAAATCACTTTGATCATTTTTTGCTTTATACTTTTTCTAATATTGGGCGCAAATTAGTTTTACTACTTTTTAACAATCAATTGCCCGGTAATTTTTTTTAAATATAGCGCAGTGCATTCAAATTTTTTGTCAAGAAATCAAAACAGAGAACCAAAATTATGCTCCCTGTTGCACTCATTGCCCATAAAATTTTTCTTAAGAGTAACTTAAGGTTCTTATTCGGAGCAAGTTAAGGTCCGTATTCGGAACGAATAAGGACCTAAACTTGTTCAATTTGGAAATAATCGTACGTTCTGAGATGGTATTAATGCAATTTCTGAGAGTGTGTTTGTTATTTTCTTGTTGTGCTCATTTAAGTTTCCGTTCTGTATAAAATCTTCTTTGGTCAGTACCGAATAGATAGTTGATGCGTGAGGGTGCGCAAGCATGTCAACGAGAATGGTTCGATTTCTGCCAACAAAATTTCATTTTATGATTTCGTAAAACGAATTTTGTAGTCAGTACCGAATAGGTCGTTGATGCGCAGGGGTGTGCGCTCTCATTTAATTTTTGTGGTGAGTATTATTAATAAACATTTCGGGTTTATTTATTTATTATTAACTTTACACAGTCATTTAAATAACAAGTAAAGAAAAAAAAAAATACTGCTATAGCAGTTTGGGCCTTAAGCAACTACGTAGTGATAATTTAATTATTAAATGTACTATTTTAACAGTTTGACTTATTTTATAACTTAAAATATATTTACATTAGTTATATGTTTACTTAATTCTTCTCTAAATAAGATGGTAGAGGTTTGAAAATTTTAAAAACTCTGACATCTGGGGTTAATTAATTAGATATAATAATTTTTTATGTATTTTCCACACCACCTTTGAGGTATACATAGAGGCGCGTTACCGAGTTAAGGTGCCGGTTCCCCAAGAGGCATATACACCATTTTTATATATTTTATTTTATTGCATATAAGATTAAATTAAAACTATAATATACAAAATATTTACATTGTAATTTAATAAATATAAGTTTTATATTACAAAAATATAAATCAAAAATTTTAAAAAATTATAAATACAAGTTTAAATATTTTATATGTTAATTTAATTGATAATTATTAATTAAAAGTAAATCATTATCAGTGGCGTAACTACATTTTTTAGGCCTGTAAGCAAATTCTAACTAAGGGGCCCCTACCAACATACTAAGGGGTCCCTCTTTTTATACTCTTTACACGAAAAAATGTGAAAAGGATATATAAGGTTTGTCAAGATTTTCGTAACGCATTAAAGGAAACGTCGGAAATACCATTAAGTATATATCAGTACAATATATATATACTTTTTCAGTTCAAACTACTCTCTCAGCTTTTGAACTTCGAATGAAACTTTACCCACATACTTTTCGGGAGCCGACCCTGTTCACCATTTGATTTGATTGAAATTGGACGTCTATTTCTTGTAGCTGTGATATAAACTTAACAATCAGATATGAGGTTGCTCCGTTTTTAATAAAGGTATTCAAATGGAATTTGGTGTATACAGTACTGATATTTGCAAAAGACAACGTACAAAATTATTTTCAAATGGGTTTAAATCTAGATATAGCTTCCATATAAGTCTCTCGATTAAGACACATATTTTTCTTAGAAAAACTTTTTTATTTTATAAATAGGTTTAATATTTTATTTGAAGTACATACATATTATGTACTTTAAATTTAAAATTTACGTATCTTTTATAAAATGCAATATGAAGTTATTCCAACAAAAAACGTTTCATCCCACTTTTGAGAATTTATTAAAAATAAATACAATGAATACAAAAATTTGTGGTGGGGCCCCCTAAATTCGGGGGCCCGAAAGCGTTGCTTCCAGTTGCTTCCCTGTAGTTACGCCACTGATCATTATCATCATATGAATTTACAAGTAACAATGAATAATATAAAATTAAAAGCATTAATTATTGTACAATGTATACCAGAAAATGTATAATTTATTTTAAAAAATTATATAGACCAGTATTTTTAAATCATAATTATTATTATTTACTTTCTTTATTATTATTTCAAAAAAATTGTGGGATTAAGTAACTTTGTTCACTTTTTGCTTTATAATATTGGGCGCAAATAAATTTTACTACTTTTTAACAATCATTTGCGCGGTAATTTTTTTTTAAATATAGCGCAGTGCAATCAAATTTTTTGTCAAAAAATCAAAACAAAGAACCGAATTTATGCTCCCTGTTGCACTCAATGCCCATAAAATTTTTCGTAAGAATAAGTTAAGGTTCGTATTCGGAGCAAGTTAAGGTCCGTATTCGGAGCAAATAAGGACCTAAACTTTCTCAAGTTGGAAATAATTGTACGTTTTGAGATGGTATTAGTGCAATTTCTGAGAGTGTGTTTGTTATTTTGTGTTGTGCTCATTTAAGTTTCCGTTCTATATAAAATCTTCTTTGATTTATATTTTCTTAAATATTTTTTGAGCGTATAAAACATTATTTCTAATATAATATTGAAATAATATCATTAAATGCTGTTATGATGTGTAATTATTAATAAAGACCGAAGCTACTACCAATTTACTTTTTTATACGGCAACACTCAAGTGGTGAATGATGAATTATATTTCTCTGCATAGGCAAATTTTTCAAATTTAGTGCTGAAAATTCTATTCATGGGGGAGGATGTACGCGCATTCGCTGTAAATTTATGTGATGAATGTACGTATTTTTAATTTGCATGCATTTCTAACTGATCAGTAACGATAAATCTGTTGATGGGTGAGGATGTACGCGCATTCGCTTCAAATGTATGAGGTGAATGACGCGTATTATTCATTTACATACATTACTGTATGAATAGATTTATATGAATTTTTTAAATAGGAATATTTTTATATGCAATTTAATAAAAAAGTATTTTATAAATATTGAAAGATTTTTAATTTACCATCATATTTATAAAATATATTTATTAATAAATATTAAAGTATTTAAGAATATTAGCAGGGTTTAATTAAAAGAAGTACAAGTTGTACTCATAATTTATTATTTTTAAGAATTGAAATAATAATAACAATCATTTAATAAACACACATATTTATTAAAGGCATTTGTTTAAAACAATATATATTATTTGCGTATATAATGAATAATATTTATAAAAAATAAATTGTCTTTTTTGAATAATGTACTAAAAATATGTTCAATATGATATTAAAATCTGAGACTAGATAATTGTACTGGCTAATTATAAATATTATATAATATCTTTACATGTAAAAAATTAAAATTTAAAAACATTATTAAAAACAAATGTATAGCATTTTACTTAATAAAAAAATAAAATTGTGATATAGTAGTTAATTTTGAAAAATATTCTTATAATAATAACATGAAATTATGTGAATTTTTATTCAGAAAACACAAGTGAAGGTGTAAATTATATTATAAATAATTATAAAAAATATTTTATTTTTTCAAAGAAACTTATTCACTACTTTTTATAACTCAGTTTGATTTGACTACGTTTTTCAGTTTTTGGCGCATTTCTCCTGTCAAAATAACTAAACAAAACCCAATTTGCGCTCTTCATATTGCTCTTTCGTAATAAAAAAAATTAAGACCGTTCATGGTGGTGAAAAGTTCCGTTCGGGATTGTGAAACTTTTCAGTCGTGGTGGGTCGAATTGCAGCAACAAAACAACGTGCTTGGTTTGGTAGTAGTAAATTATTTTAAGAGTGAGTTGGTTGGTTTTTTTTTGTTTACATTTAAGTTGCCGTTCTTGTACAAGTATTCTTTGGCCGTGACCATTCATCAGGGATAACAACGTTGCTAGTGCGGTACTTACACTGGTCTCAAGTAATGTGATTGCTGTTATAATTCGTTAATATGATGAATGGGGATTTAATTAAATTTGTAAATGATGAGAAGAATGTGCAAGTAAATTTTAGGAAAGCTGGGGACAAATTAATGGAGAAGGTATATAACTTTTTTTTATTTATTGCTGTTAAAATGTGTATCCTAATTTATTATAAAACTTCAAAAAAAAACGTAAGCAGAATCAGTTCACTAGTGAGGAAAATCTGGGTTTACATTCGCCATTACACTCTAATGTGGAAAATGCATTAAAGAATTCCAAAAAAAATGAGATACGACGGAAAAGAGACAAAAGTTCGAAGTCTATTCACAAAAAACGAAGAAAGTATTCTGATTCAAGCAATGGAAGTTATGTTGAAAGTTCTAATAATGTGACTTTTAATAAAAAAATAAAAATTAAGAGCCAAAGCAAAGAAAAAATTTCAGATGCAAATTCAGATGATCAATGGATGGAGAAAAAACAAAACGATAATAAAAAATATTTTGATGAATTTAAGCAGGATAGTTGGATGACAGATGCACTATTGTTGAAAACTTTCACACATGATCGGAAAGGAAATGGAGTGAAAAACAAAGAGTCATACGAGAAATATGATCCAACTAAAAATAAAAAAGAACTGAATCCTTATTGGAAATCTAGTGGCGTTGGGTTACCTTCTTTTCAAAAGCCTCCAAAAGACAGTGTTGAAGATGAACGTAAACAAATATTCGAAACATCTTCAAAAAGATGTGATCATCTGCAAATCGAAAATAAAAATTGGTACAAAAAAAATCATAATAAATTACCAAGTATTGAAGCAGTTTTACCTAAAACAGATTTTACAAAATCCATAGATACGTCGGATTGTTTAGCAGGAAATAGCAATGAGCTTGCCACAAGTAATTTAAAATTTTCAAACAAAGATCATTTTCCCATAAATGACAGTACTGCAAATATTACAGAATTATATCAAAAGGAAGACTTTGTAACAGATAGTCACATAAATGCATTAGCGGCTAAAATTTTGAAAGCTGAAATCATTGGAAATGTAGAAGACATAGTAGAATTAAAAAAAAAAATGGAAGCAGCGCGTAAAATCAAAAAAACTATTACTGATACGCAGTTGTGCGCAGCTCATAAGATAAATGTCAAAAGCTCCAAAAATATTTTACCTGCAATGGTTAACAATTGTGGAAGTATAAAACCAGTCTCTCAAACTAAAGATCGTAGGATTATGTACTACGGCAGAAAACAAAACATACAAGCTGCAATTCCAGATGATAAATATGCTGTTAAAAAAAGGGTAGATCTTAATATTATTTATAATTAACAATGATTTCTTACTAAGTTTATGTATATTATATTTCTTTTAAGTTTGAAGGTAAAATTTCTTTTACACCAACGGATTTCAAAATGTTATTACCTAATATTGGAAGTAAGGGTAAAAATCAAGAACGGGACATACAACACAAAGCAATCAATGTCCAACATAATTTAATATCTTGTGTACATAACTGTCGTAGATGTCTTGATTCTAAACAAAACGATAAAAATCTGATAATATCAATTGGTGAAAAAGTTTATTTAGCCCTTCCATGGTATATAGGTCTTCAAAATGGACATTGTATAATTATTCCTTATCAGCATGTAAGTTATTCAACGCAGTTAGATGAAGAGGTATGGGAAGAAATCAATTGCTTCAGGAAATCATTAAGTGAAATGTTTGCTACACAAAATAAGGATGTCATATTCTTTGAAATTGCTAATAAATTACACCGTGGTTCACATTTGGGTATTCATTGTATACCAATTGATAAAAAAAAATCTGAAATTGCACCTTTTTACTTTAAAAAAGCGATTGAAGAATCTGAAGATACCTGGTGTGTGAATAAACAATTAATATACTTACGTAAGAAGGGGCTCCAGAGAAGCATACCCAAAGGTTTATCATATTTTTGGGTTAACTTCGGTATGGATTTTGGCTTTGCTCATGTCATTGAGGATGAAAAACGCTTTCCTTCGAATTTTGCACAGGTTTGTTATACAGTTAAACAAAAAAAAAATTATGTTTATTTTTTTAGGAAATACTTGGAGGTATATTGGAGCTTGACCCAAGTAAATGGCGGAAATTAGAAAGGGAACGAAATATTATACTGAAAGTTAAGAGATTTGTCGATTGCTGGAAAAAATTTGACTTCACTTTGAATTTGAATTAAAAATAATCAATCAAACTATGCTTGTCATAAATTCAATAAATGTCTTCTTGCATTTCATTTTGTATAAGCGCTTTTTAATAGTTGAAAAAAAGTTTAAAGTTGGCTTGTGATATTTTGCCTGACAAAAGATATTGATATTGGACTTAAATAATCATTCCACAGTGCTTTTTCGTATTACAAAAGCGCCCTCACAAAAAGTCTAAAATACATATGAGAACAGAGGGTCATATACATTTAATTCGTTTTGTACCGTAGAATTCGTATTTGTTATAAATGTTATAAATAATAAGAACAAATAAGTTGATACTGGCAATACTATTCTTTCTCATGCATCTTGTGCATTTCGTTTTCATATACCTTCTTTATTTTTAGTCTTAATAAACGATTCAACTTAACAGGTTATGGGCCTATTGATATGCGGATAAAACAAAAATGTTGAATACTTCGGGTATTTACATTGAACGACTACGGGGTCGGGAAAATTTCGATGTCTGGAAAAGACAAATGAAATCGTGTTTAATTATTAAAGGATACTGGAAAGTTGTGGAAAGTGGTGTAACATCAGAAAAAGATGATGATACAAACGATCGTGCATTAGCAGAAATTACACTTATGGTGGACCCAAATAATTACAGCCACATTGCAACGGCAAAAACAGCAAAAGATGCTTGGTTTGCGCTTATGAACGCATATGAGGACAAAGGTTTAACAAGAAAGGTAGAATTATTGAAACAACTTGTAAATACAAAATTAGAAAACTGCAAATCAGTGCAGGAATACCTAAATGAAATAATAATGACGGCTTTGAAAGTAAACAGCGCTGGACTCAATATTGATGATGAGCTCACAGCGTCTTTAATACTTGCAGGTCTGCCTGAAGAGCTTAAACCATTAGTGATGACTGTCGAAAATTGTAAAGACAAATTAACAGTCGATAAAGTCAAAAATTTATTAATGCAAGACTCCAAGTTTGATAATAATGAAACAAATTCGGCTTTGTATAGTGGTAACGTGCATAAGAAAAAATTTGTATATAAAAACACATGTCATAATTGCAAAAAAGAGGGGCATTATGCTAAAAACTGTCCAAATAAAACCACATATTACAGAAAAAATAAGCCGAATAACGGAAGAAAAGAAGACGATAAAATTTTATTTGCAGTAAAAAAGAGACAATATGCAAACGTGCATTAAAGCTGTAAAATTAGAATGCGAAAAAAATCAAGAAAACATTTTGAAGAATTGGTATGTCGATTCTGGCGCGACTAACCACATGACAAACGACGAAAGTTTTTTATTTAATATTCGAAAGATAAATAACCAATCAATAGTTGTTGCAAATAAAAGTGAAATGTCTGTTAAGAGCGTTGGTGATATGAAAATAGTTCTCTTAGGTGAACACAAATTAAATGCAACTCTTAAGAATGTTGAATATGTGCCAAATTTATGTGCGAATTTTTTGTCAGTGCAACAAATGATAAAAACAGATAAAAGAATAGTGTTCGAAAAAGACATGTAAAATTTTTGACAGCAAACGCAATTTAATGTCAACTGCGGTATTAAACAATAGTTTATACAAATTAAAATGCGTGCCATTACATACGAACAAAAACATGAACAATGCTAAATCACTGATGGTCAAAAATGATTTTAACGTTTGGCATCGCAGAATGGGACATATTTGCAACCAAAGTTTGGCTGATGTCAAAATGCTTTGTAATAGTGTTAATTTTGATAAATTCACATCCGAGAAATGTGTGGTGTGTGTAGAATCAAAACAAACCAGAAAGTTAAATAAAAATGAAGGTACGCGGGCAACAGAATTATTAGAACTAGTGCACTCCGACGTACTTGGACCCTTACAAACAAAATCATTTTCTGGTGCACAATATTTATTAACATTCATTGATGATTACTCAAGAAAGTTATTTGTATTTCCAAATAAAGAAAAATCCGACGTTTTCAATAAATTTATTGATTTTAAAAATATGGTTGAAAATCAATGTTCTAAAAAGATAAAAACGCTACGCACGGATAACGGACGCGAATATATTAATAGAAATTTCTCGAATTTTTTAAAAAAATGTGGAATAATTCATCAAACAACAGCACCATATACACCAAAACAAAACGGAGTCGCGGAAAGAATGAACCGTACAATTGTTGAACGTATACGCTGTATGTTAACGGACAGTGGTTTAAACGAGCAATATTGGGCAGAAGCAGCTATGACTGCCACATATATTATAAATAGAATACCATGTCGAGAAAAACAAAATTGTCCTGAAGAAGTTTGGAGCAATAAAAAACTAACTCTCAAACACTTACGTGTATTTGGATGCCTAGCTATGGTGCATATACCTAAAGAAAAGCGCACTAAACTTGACCCAAAATCAATAAAGTGTATTATGGCCGGATACTGTGAAAATAGTAAAGCATATCGA